AGAACTACCCTATGACCCAGCAATTGCTGTATCCAAAGGATACAGGTGTGCTATTTTGAAGGGGCACATACAGCCCAATGTTTATAGCGGCGTTATCAACAATAACCAAAGTATGGAAAAAGCCCAAATGTCTATCGACTAATGAATGGAATGGAATATATATATATATATATATATATATATATATATATATATATATATATATATATATATATATATATATATATATATATAATGGAATATTACTCAGAAATAAAAAAGAATGAAATCTTGCCATTTGCAACAATGTGGATGGAACTGGAGGGTATTATGCTAAGTGAAATTAGTCAGTCAGGGAAAGACAAATATCATATGACTTCACTCATATGTGGAATTTAAGATATAGAACAGATGAACAGAAGGAAAGGGAAGCAAGAATAGTATAAAAACAGGGAGGGGGACAAAACATAAGACACTCTTAAATATAGAGAACTGAAGATTGCTGGATGGGTTGTGGTTGGGGGGATGGGCTAAATGCAAGGGGCATTAAGGAAGATACTTTTTGGGATGAGCACTGAGGGCTATATTCAGGGAATGAATCACTGGATTCTACTCCTGAAATCATTATTGCACTATATGTTAACTAACTTGGATGTAAATTAACAAAAATTAATTAATTAATTAAAAAAAAAACATTGCCAAGGTCAATGTCAAACAGCTTTTCCCACACATGTTCTTCTGGGAGTTTTATGATTTCATATCTTCCATTTAAATCATTAACCCCTTTTCAGTTGACTTTTTGTATGGTTCTAAGAGGCCAATTCTATTCTTTTTCATGTGGATGTCCAGTTTTTTTCCAACACCATTTCTTAAAGAGATTATGTTTTCCTATTGTGTATTTTTGGCATCTTTGTTGAAAATTAGTTGACCATGTGTGCATGGTTTTATTTATGGTTTCTCTCTTCTGTTCCATTGAACTATGTGTCCATTGTTATGTCAATACCATACTGTTTCCAACAGGAATATGAAAAGATGCCCAGCATCACTAATCAGCAGGAAAATGAAAATTAAAACCACAATATCACCTCATATTTGTTAGAATAGCTATTATAAAAAAAAAGTCAAAAGCTAACAAGTGTTGGCAAGGATGTGGAGAAAAGGGAACCATTGTACGCTATTGGTGAAAATGTAAACTGGCACAGCCTTAATAAAAAATAATATGGATGACCCTCAAAAAACTAAAAATAAAACTACCATATGGTCCAGTAATTCTACTTCTGAGTATATACCCAAAGGAAATGAATTCCGTATCTGCACTACCATGTTAACTGTAGCATTAGTCACAATGATCAAGATATGGAAATAATATAAATGTCAGAAGATGCATGGATGGGACCGGAAATGATTATATGGGCTTATATATATTTATAATATATTATATAGATTATATAATATAATAGGTTATAATATATTTAGTGTACCATATAATTTTTTATGTAATAATAACATATATATATTATTTGAATAATCACAATTTACATTTATTCATGGACTGAAAAAAATGTTGAACTTGGAGAGTAGAATGATAATTAACAGAGGGTCATACATTTGGGGAAAGGAGAGATTTTTTAAAAAAGACAAAAAGAAGCCAAGAAAAGAGAATGAATGGTGGAAGCTGCCATTGTTGGGCGATTGGCTCTTAAAGATTACAGTGAGTTCTGAGATGGGAAAGTCAGTATAAATGCCCAAAATAAAACGTAGTTAATGCTATTGAACTGTTGATGCTGATGTAACTGATGATGTAGTTAATGCTATTGAACTATTGAACCTAACAACAAGAAAAGGGCAGCCTTATGCTGCGTGGGTTTCCTTAATTTTTTTTTAATATTTATTTTTGAGAGATAGAGACAGAGCACGAGCAGAGGAGGGGCAGAGAGAGAGGAAGCAGGCTCCAGGCTCTGAGCTGTCAGCACAGAGCCCAATGCAGGGCTCAAAAAAAACCCATGCTGCTGAGAGATCATGACCTGAGCTGAAGTCGGATGCTTTAACTGACTGAGCCACCCAGGCGCCCCTATGTTATGTGTGTTTTACCACAATAAAAAAGAAAAATAAATAACTATTGGATTATAAGCCAGAATATAAAATATATATCATGAGTCCATACCGATATAAACAAGTGATTAAACATATAAACAGCAAGAAGGAAGAAACAAATTTCCTATACAGAAAATTCCAAACAATTTATGTTGATACTTGACACTCAGGACAGGACACTATAGATAGATGGGAGTCTTCATATAATGTGATAACAATGAAATTTTACCCCTATGCTCTTTCTCCTTAAAACCCCACAACTTAATTCTAATCATAAGATAAATATCAGACAAACCCAAATTGAGGGATAGTCTACAAAATAGCTACTCCCTCAAAACGGTCAAGGTAAACAAAAAAAAGAGAAGTCTGTCATAATCACGAGGAGCCTAGGAGACAAGATGACTAAATATAGTGGGGCATCTTAGGTGGAATCCTGGAACAGAAAAAGACATTAGGTAAAAACTAAGGAAATCAGAGTAAATCATGAACTTTAGGTAATAATAATATATTAATATTATTTATTAATTGTACTAAATGAACTATATCCATGTATGATGTTAATAATACAAGAAACTGGGTGTGGAGTGTGTTGGAACTCTCTGTACTAGCTTCTCAACTTTTCTGTAAATCCAAAGCTGCTCTAAAATAAAGTTTATTTTAAAAAAATCAAAACCTGACTCTAAAGGGAATGTGTGCATACTCTGAGTTTTTCTGGTAACTTCTCCCTTGGCCCCCAATCTTCCTGTCCAGTCCTACCCAGGATTCTCTTAAGTCTTGTCCTGTTGGGAGGACTGGAGTGTGTTCATCTTTAAGTAAGTACAGATGGTTCCTAACTTACTATAGTTTGACTTAGGATTTTTTGACTATGGAATGATGTGAAAACATTATGCCTCCAGTAGAAACCAAACTTCAAATTCTGAATTTTGACCTTTTCCTGGGCTAGCAATGTGTGGATGCTACTCTCTTGTAATGCTGGGCAGTGGCAGGGAGGCCAAGCTCCCTGTCAGCCACACAGTCACAAGGGTGAACAACTGAGACACTTATAACCATTCTGTACCCATACCACCTATCTGTTTTTCATTTTCAGTACAGAATTCAATAAATTACATGAGATGTTCAAGTTTGCATTATAAAATGGGCTTGGTGTTGGATGATGTCACCTAACTATAGGCTAATGTAAGTGCTCTGAACATGTTTATGGTGGGCTATGCTATGCTCTGATGTTTGGTAGGTTGGGTGTATTAAGCGTATTTTCATCTTACAGTATTTCCAACTTATGATAGGTCTAGCGGGATGTAACCCTACTGTAAGCTGAGGAAGATCTGTAATGAGTGCCACTGACAAGTGTTAACAGGAGCAATGAGGTTAGATCAGAAGTTTAAGTAGAATACCCTGTCCTCTGTGTCATGCGTGCAATGTGGGGTGTGTAGGGAGCCAGGGAGTAAAGGAGACCAGCTTGAAGGCCACTGCAATAGAGGAGGTGAGGAATGATCTCAGTCCAAGCTTGGGCGTGTTGCAGGGATAGCAAGGAAGTGGTCCTGAGCAGGGCCTGGGGAAGAAGAGGAGGAGGAGTGATCATGGTGTCTCTCTTGAGATGAATACACAGATGGTGGTATCACTGCCCCAGAAAGGGTACTTAAGGGGGAGACATGGCAAGTGTTGCCATGGGGTTGGATGGGGAGTGAGGGAGGCCAAGTGCCTTTCAGGTCTGTTGAATCTGGCTGCCTATGGACGTCTCAATATACCCCAGACATATACTCATTGCTGTGATAAAATAGCTTTGGGTGGATTGAGACAACCTGCTTGCAATGATAGGGTTAAATAGTGAAAGGCAGGTGATTTGGAGCATTAAAGTAGAGTTTAGGAGAGAGAGTGTCCCAAGTCCTGATGTGACTGATGGCAGTAAAACTGGAGAAGTGTCATCAGGGTAATGACTGCAGTGGCCTTGGGTCTGTATTTCTACAGCCTTTTTGGCACTCCCATGATTACAGCAAGCCCAATCTTTACCTTCTTTAGTCACACTGTCACTTTCCCCATCAGACACCAGTCTTGAGCTTGTCTCCTCTTCTCACATTGCTCAATTCTGCTCCTATCACTTTCTTAAAATCTTCCTTAGCCAAGTAGACAGTTCATAAGATTCTTGGAAGCTATTCTACAGACAAACACCCAGAAAAGGACAAGAACCCAGCTGGAGCCCCACACCTCCCTGGTGTTGTCTTCCCATGGTCGTCCCCAATGTGAGGAGATGAAAGGAGATCGGAGGCAGCGTGTGGAGCTTGGCCAGGGGCTAGGATTGAGCCTAGTGTGTGGTGTGAGGCAGTGCTGGAATGAGGTGGACAGATTCTCCTTCCCCCAACCAGAATAACTTGTCCCTGTTTCACGACCAGCAATTGGCAAACATTGATTTCAGGTACATGAGTGAAGTTATTTTTGTTTGGTTTGGTTTTGGTTTTGGTTCCTTTTAAGAAGTTGCTGAATGCACTGGGTGGTTTGGGGAACAGAATTAAAGATGTCTGTCCTCTTTTGGGAATTGGCCAAGAGAGTCCATTGCAACCATTGACTCAAGCACAGGTTCTTTACATGGTGAGAGACAGAGGAGAAAAGACAAAGAGAATACAGGATCCCAGACTTCCAGGATTTATTCTGTATTATTGTAAATACTCACAGATTCAACTATAATACTGGGGACAAAGTCAGAATTAGTGACAGAGGCCATGGCCGCCTGTTGGGACTGAGCTCATTAGGGATGGGTTCTGGGCAATAACTTTCCCTTCTCCCAGCCCCATCAAAGAAACATGCAGAAGGACAGGGTTAGGCAGTTTCACAGATGAGGTGGGCCACCAGGCTGGGGACCTGAGGTAAGAGAGGCCACTGGCTCTCTTGTCATTTGTGTGGGATAGCCTGAGAGCCTCTGGGACTGGGGGTGCTTACTTATATTTTGGGGGGCCATATACCTCCTGCTTCTGCTGCTGTTGGTCTATGAGGGGCATGACTTCTCCCCTCAGTGGATGGACTAGTAGGGGCTCTTGGACCTGGCCAGGAGCTGGGACAAATGCAGGCTGCGTCAGTTGGCCTTCCTGCTGCTCTGCTGGCTCTGGCTGCTGCTCTTCTCTCTTTTCCAGGTGCTCATTTCTCTTTGCTAGATCTCCATCCAGTTGCTGGCCCATGATCTTCTTCTCCTGTCCCAGCTGTTCCTTTTGCTGCTGCTTCCTTTGTGCTTTCTCCTGCTCCAGCTGCTGCTCCAGGTTTTTTGCTTCCTGATGTTCCTCACACTGTTCCTTTTGTTGCTGCTGCTGTATTTCCTGCTCCTTCTGCTGTTCCAGATGCTGTTCCAGGTGCAGTTCCTGCTCCTGTGACTCTTTCTGCTGCTGCTGTTCCAGATGCTGCTCCAGGTGAATTTCTTGCTCCTGTGGCTCTTGCTGCTGCTGCTTCTGTTCCAGATGTTGTTCCAGGTGAAGTTCCTGCTCCTGTGACTCTTGCTGCTGCTGTTCCAGATGCTGTTCCAGGTGCAGTTCCTGCTCCTGTGGCTCTTGTTGCTGCTGGTTCTTTTCCAGATGCTGTTCCAGGCAAAGTTCCTGCTCCTGTGACTTTTGCTGCTGCTGCTGCTGCTGTTCTGGATGCTGTTCCAGGCAAAGTTCCTGCTCATGTGACTCTTGCTGCTGCTGCTGCTTCTGTTCCAGATGCTGTTCCAGGTGAAGTTCCTGCTCCTGTGAGTCCTGCTGTTGCTGCTGCTGTTCTGGATGCTGTTCCTGCTGCTGTGAGTCTTGCTGTTGCTGCTGTTGCTGTTCCAGATGATGTTCCTGCTGCTGTGGCTCACATTGTTGCTCAGTCACCCCCTTCACGAGAGTTGTATGATTCTCCCCTTGCTCCTGGGGGACCTCCCCATGTTCCCCATGTTCCTGGGGGACCTCCCCTGGGAACTTAGAGGGAATCTTCTGGCACAGGGCAGGCAGTGGGGTTGGCTGTTTCACTTGCTCGGGCTGGGTATTGATGGGAGGGCAAACTGGCTTGAGGGGCTCCTGACAGAGTGAGGGAGGCAGAGTCACTGGCAGAGTGTGTTGCTGGGACATCCTGGAAGCTGCTTTAACCTAAAAGACAGGAGGGGTCAGAGGGTGACTGAAGGCAGAGGGAGTAGATGAATCCTTGCAATCTGTAGCAGTGCCTGGTTTCTCAGCATCCCTTCTCTTACCTTGGGTTGGGGCTCTCCTACCCACTCTGGGTTGTTCCCCAGAATCACAGAGTGGAGGGGAGGAGGGGGACAGCCAAGAAAGACCCTCCTGGGAACCTCTTGTTCCCAGAAAGAGCCAACAAAGAGGTCTGTCTTTGAAGTTTCTGGACAAGGGTCGGCTGGGTGCCATTTTTTGCCTAATCCTTGCTTCTGCCCTCGCTCCTTTTTTTTTTTTTTTTTTTTTTTTTTTTTTTTTTTTAGAAAAAGAGAGTGTAAGCTGGGTCGGGACAGAGAGGGAAGGAAAGAGAGAGAATCCCAAGCAGGCCCTGTACTGTCAATGCAGAGTCGGACACAGGGCTTGATCCCAACCCACAAACCATGAGATCATGATCTGAGCTAAGACCAAGCTGGACACTTAAATCACTGAGCCATCCTGCCTCTGCCCCTACTTCTAATCTCCACTGACCAAGAAGGAGAGATGAGCTCTGATGGGAAGAGGTGAGTCCCTAGGAAGAGAGGGACTTTGGAGGACTCCTGAGTCCTAGAAAATCAGTGGTCCATGCCAGGGTCATGGCACATGCCTTGGACTGGTCACATGACCTAGAATCTGCTTAAGTGTCACACTGAAAGGCTGTGTGTTTCTGAGCAGGTCCCTTAGCCCCTCTGGGCCTCAGATTTCTCCTCTGAAAAGTTAGCAGATTGGCCTGTTCCACTCCATAGCTTTCTCTCATGACCTTTGGAGCTTCCGCTGCAGCCCTAGCACCTGGGAGGTGGGGTGGGGTGGGGTAGAAGGAAGGCCTGGGAGGTTCCTGAGAAGTGGAGTGAGTTCTTTCGAGTCTTGTACCTTTCAGTTGCATTTTCCTGCCACTGCTTTGCCTAGGTCTCTCCAATTAGAAGTCTTTCCCCATTTTTCAGTCCTCCATTCTGCAGCATAGCAAGAGCCACATGCATTTCCCTCAACCCCTGCCCACTGATGAAGGCACAATCACAGTCAGCCCAAGTAAGACAGTTCAGGGAAGAAATTGGCTCTACTCCTCCTCATCCCCATCTCCTCTCTCTCTCTCTCCTCTCTCTCTGTCTCTCTCCCCCTCTCTCTCCAAAACATCAAACCAAGAAAAGATGGTACAGGAGGGGAGCAGATTGCTCTCTGTTCTGTATTTCCATGCCGTGGCATATGTCTCTCAGCATAGTGACCTGAGTCCACCTGGAAAGACATGGAGTCCATCTGAATCCAGTCTGAGAGTGATCCACACACCCACCCAGGCTAGCCACACAACCACACTCTAGTGTGCAGTGCCAGTCCCAGGGCTCCCAGCTAGTACTTACCAGACTCACAGTGGGGACAGCTGTGGAGGCCTCTAGTGCAGTGCTGAGCTGAGCAGGGGCCAGGGTGCCCTTATATGTTTCCCCAGCCCAGCCTCCTGCCCTGCTTGAAGAAGATGGACTGGTTTCACCACTCAAGTTGGTCAACTTCTTCCAGCCCTTTCCTGACTCATCACAGGTACCTGAAGCAGAAAACCCCTCAGGGTCCCTTTTCACAGAGACTCACAGAGGGCTCTGGGGACTCAGTCATTCCTGTGATACTCATCTGACCTGGGCATGGGGAGGTGAGGGAGGCATCTTGGGAAACTTGTCCCCTTTTTCTATTGCTTTGTGACTTCAGCCAAGACTTTTCTCTGAATATCAATTTCTTCACTTGCAAAACAGGGTCATTCTCACAATTAGACCTAGAGATTCATTTCCAAGGGCACAGAATTGAAAGTTGTATGCCTCTATGGGATGTTCAGGCCAGTGTATGTGGTGTCAAGGTGGAAGAATCACATCTCATGAGGGATGAGTTTGCCAGACCACTAGCCCACAGCCTGTCTGCTCTCAGGAAATACCTATAACTCCGCTCTATGTGGAAATAAATCCTGGCTGGAGGGGGTCAGACTTTAGACCTAAAGAATCGAGTAGAAGGCTTGTAAGAGTCTTTTGCTATAACCTAGGGGCTGTCTAGGTCCCATGTGCAAGTGTGTAGTTACAGAAGTTCTCAAGAAAGCCATGTTCATAAATAATCCAAAGCATGGATGAATCCAGGCAAAGAAACAAGTATTAAATACACAATATATAAAATAATAAATATTGCTTTTTATGATTGCTTTTTATTGCTTTTTTCTACATTTTTTTGAAATGCATAATGGTTTTGATCAACACCAAATCATTCATTGCTTTCTCCAAACCATTCTCTAAAAATAGCTTAAACAATCTTTCAGAGTAAGGGTTGAAACTTATCCCTCCTCGGGCACCTTTTGGGATGAGCACTGGGTGTTGTATGGAAACCAATTTGACAATAAATTTCATATATAAATAAAAAAAATAAAAACAAAGCAAAATATCAAAAAAAAAAAAAAAAGAAACTTATCCCTCCTCAATGCTGAAAGTGACTAGCTCATCTGGAATAAAATCCAAACTCACTGCTATGGTTTCAAAGGCCCTCACAAGGTGTCCTCAGTTCCTAGGACAAGTCCAGGGCTCCCCACCTCAGGGCTTGGTGTCTACTCTCTTTCAGCCAGCAGGCTCCTCCAGGGTCTCTAACTCTTTGTGTCTTTTTTTTTTTTTTTAATTTTTTTTCAACGTTTTTTATTTGTTTTTGGGACAGAGAGAGACAGAGCATGAACGGGGGAGGGCCAGGGAGAGGGAGCACAAATCGAAACAGGCTCCAGGCTCCAAGCCATCAGCCCGAGAGCCTGACGCTTGGGCTCGAACTCACGGACCCGTGAGATCGTCGGACCTGGCCAATGGACGCCATCCCACATACACGCCACCCAGGCGCCCCTCTAACTCTTTGTGTCTTTTAGCTTCAGTATAAGTGTTGGGGTCTGCCAGAGAGCCTTCCTTGACTACCTACCTAGAGGCTTATCTTCTGGTTCACTTCATTTCACTAATAATAGTCGAGATTTGTTCACTTACTTATTTTTTATCTTTCCCACTGGAAAATAAGCTCCATAAGGCAGGGGGGTTGCCTGCTGTGTTTTCTGCAATGTCCCCAGGATCCATCATAACCATCACATATACAAAATGCTCTATAAGTATTAGTTGAAGGAATGGATGAATGGTGAATTTCACCACTTGGAGATAACCACTATTAAACATTTTAGCATTGTGTATGTGCAAATGTGTGTGTAAACAAAATTGAATTATAACATGCTCTTCTTTTTTTTTAATGTTTATCCAGTTTTGAGAGACAGAGAATGAGCGTGAGCAGGGGAGGGGCAGAGAGAGTGGGGAGACACAGAATCTGAAGCAGGCTCTAGGCTCTAAGCTGTCAGCACAGAGCCTGACGCGGGGCTCAAACTCACAAACTGTGAGATCATAACCTGAGCTGAAGTCAGATGCTTAACTGACTGAGCCACCCAGGCGCCCCTAACATGCCTTTCTTTTTAATGATTGGTTAATAGCTTATTTTGTGGATATCATTTATTTAAACTCTCTTCTTTACAACCTAATCAAAAGGAAATATTAGAATAATATGAAAGCAAATACTCATTTCTGGGGCTAATTGTGAGGAATATTCTGATTCCCTGTGGTTTCCTGACAGGCATCTCCTTCCAGCCCCATAAATATCTATTTATAATGCTAATTTTGCCATGCTCCTAGAGCTCAGTCTGGAAAAACTGGTGGAGGGTCCTCTGCCCCTGGAGTACCACTGTCTGCTCATGCCATCTCTGTTCCCTGAACCCACCCAGGACCTCACACTTCCTCCCCCATAGCATAGGAACTACGTTATCTGCTGGGGCAAGAAAAGCCCTCTTCACACCCTCTGACCTCCCCTTCCCCAGTGAAGAACTAACCAAATATCCTCACATGGACACTCATGCCTTGCACTCGGACGCTGACCTCACATGGGAGGAATCGGCCTCTCCCCAGCCCTTCACAGTCAGTCCCAGGGCAGCAGACCCTGCTCAAGGAAGTCACACCAGTCTTATGGGTTTCTAGGGGCTCTTATCTGCCAGATCTGCCTCCCGCCCTCTGATTCACAGCATAATGAGAGCTTTGGGGGGAAGACCGTGTGTGTGAACCTTTGGTCACTGGGCAAAGCTAGGGTGTGGGGAGAAGGGTGGAGTGGGGAACTGAGGGAGTCCATGTGGGCAGGGGACGGTTTAGAGAAGCCCCAGCCTGTTAGGGCTCAGAGGTGCCAGACTCTGCCCTCAGACTGCCCCATTTAGGTAACAGACATACATGCATATGGAGGAGATTCAGTGTCTGTGTGAGTGACCTCATTGGCCCCGGGTGCACATGATGAGTCTGGGTAACTGTCCAGCCCCCGCCCAGTGTAATGAGTATGAGCTCATATCCCATGACACATGCAGAGGACTTGACCCCAGCTCTTCCCCAACCCAGGGAGGCTCCAGATATTTCTGTCAAAGAAGCAGAAACTGGCTGGGTTCTCTTTCTCCCTAAGTGAGACAGCCCATTTGAACTGTTGCTTAGCTATAGGGGAGGGAACGTTGGTCACAGCATTTCACTGCTCTGGGGGCAGGATGTCAAGGACAGCTCTTAGTAAGCTGTCAGTATGGGGTGATGGCAGATGGTCCTAGGAAGGTGACTTGGACCAGGAGGTCCCTCATTCCCACTTTGGGTGGCCATGCCCAAGCTCTTCCCTGGTGAGGCAGTGCCCCCACTCTCTGAGGCTGCTAACTTGTCCTTCTTCCCCATAAGCCTCCTCCTCTGCCAGAGTCACTGCCACTAACATCATCTCTCAATCTGCCACCTGCACTGGTAGGATCCCCACGTGCCCTGAGTCCTTACTGGCCTCCTTCATGGCCTCCTAAACCTGACCTTCACTCCTCATTCGCCTCTTGTGTCCATCTGTTGTTCCAGGAGGAAACAAAGCAAGGACGAGAGATGAGACCCATAAAG